TAGTGACCCTACCTGCTCACCTTGGAAGTGTTTTGGGAGTAATTAACCCAGGCATATGGGTATCATGACTCATAATAAAAGTGTCCAACCTCTGCAGAGTGTAAAACTGGTATATCAGTCATGCTCATGGTCACGAGCGGCCTTGGAACATTTACGGAATAGATGAACACTAACAATTATCTGTTTATGCTATGCATTATTCATGTTTACATTTGATCATGTGTTTTGCATTGGGAATTGAAACAACTTGTTGCTACTCTTAAGCTAAAATTGTGACAACTAAAAGCTGAATGCTGTTAAACCTGTGTCAAGCATTTTGAGCCTCATGAACCCCGTGTTACACTTGTTGAGTACGACATGTACTTACGCTTGTTTATTTTCATTATTTGGATAAAAATCCCGGATGGGTAACAGATGGCTTTGGGTATGATGATTTTCTTGAGGACTTCTAGACTTGTGGTCAACCAGTCAACGTCCCTATGAAATGGAGCTTCCGCGAGAGATCTTTTATTATTTCCGATATATTTATGTGATAACTTTGTCTTATTTGTGATGTAATAAACACTTGTGATGATACTATTCATAATTTGTCGGTTTATGTATGTGACTGATCTCTAGGCACACATAAGATTTTGCACTCCATTTTATCCTTAAAATTGGGTATGACAATAGTTTAGGATCAGTTTGTACATGGGAGTCCTAAATTTCCTTAGTGATGATATATGCTGATGAAATTTCCATCTTCTACTTCTCTAATCTGTCTCATGTCAAAGTGATCAATATGTATTAGATTATAAGTCCCACATACAACCATTAAAACAATGCAATGAAATAATATAAATAGGGTAAGTCTTAGAATAAATAAATAAGCTCAATGTAATATTGATTCTGACATAGCAGATATACCTGTCACACCCTAAAATTTTTGATTTTGGGTTGTGCATAGAAAACACTAAATAAAATGAATTATTTTAATATTTGAATAAAATTTACCAAGTTTAGTTTGAGCTAAAGCAAATTTAGTTATAGGAAAAATGTGAATTTTCAGAGTTTTCTAATTTTGATGGGCGTTTGGATGATATGATGTTTGCTTGTTGCTTCTTTGTGTGTTGAGAGTGAGCAAAGTCTTTAAAATGCGTTAGTAGGTCGATTTTCCTTCTCCGACACGCCTTAATCTTTTTCTACAATTGAATTCTTTGTTTCTCGACTCAAGTTTTCATTGGGAGCTTCCTAAAATCTTTTCTTTGTAACGCAAATCACTCCTTTCAGTTTCTCGTCCGTCAATCAATCTCTACAAACTTCTCGGGAAATTTTCCACCTTTTTCTGTAACTTGTTTTTACTTGTCTGTGAGCATAATTTAATTTTTATATGCTCCAAATTATCTTATCATGGGCTCCAAATACTTTATTTGGGTTCCTCATGTTCCATAATGTCTCTGAGAATTTTTCCTGAATTTTTAGAGCTTTCGGAGTATTTTTCGCGCCTTAAATAATAATTCTAGACTTTTTTGGAATTATTTTATCCACGAAATTAATTAATTCTAAAAATAATAAATCACTCATTTTTCCCAACGTTCAAAGCCCATGATCAATAATCCTAATAAATCCTAAAGGCCCATGCATTTATTTACTAATGGGCTTTAATGATAATTTAGTCCCATTAGTAAAGGTGGGGGGTGCAACATCTATTAGTACCATATTACTAGTTGATGTGAAGGTAGGGAGTTTTTCTCCCTATATATTTGTACCAACCCCTTGGGCAAAGCACATCAAAACTACCATAAAGGGAGCCCCTAATTTGGGAAATCCCTTGTGTAGTAAATCAGATTTTTCCCCTCCTCTCGCCATCGTCGTCGTCGTCGCCTCCGTGCTGCCCAGCCCGGCCATCCTCTCCTTCATGCAACAAGTCGAGTCCACCCTGCGCAGCTGCTATTTCCATGGCCATGTGGTGGCTGTACGGGAGGCCAAAGGATGAAGATGAGGTAATCACGAAATTACCACCGGTTCGTATTATCATCGTTGTATATTCGTTTTAAGTTCGTTTCGAGTCGTTCCAATTGCGTTAGATTCATATTGATGTGATCTACATGCCAGTGTCATTGTTTTTTATGTCAAGTGACATTTATATATATGTTGAAATATTAATTTGATTAATATGCATGCAGCTAGTTTTTATAAATAAAAGCAACATAATTATATACAATGCTCTTTTGCAAATAATTTTTAACATGACTAGTTGCTAACATAAATATGTTTCTAAATTAGAATATGTTTATTCTAAATACACATATCAAATTTGATTAGATGTTCTCACATGCCAATTTGTATTTGCAAGTTAAATTGAATTAGCATAATTGATATCAAAATATTTATAAATAAAATATGATTAGCTTCAACTCAGTTTTTAAGTATAAATATAATTTGTTTAATCTAAATTAATGCTACTCACATAGTTTTTCCTAATTAACATAAATCAAGCTTATAGTCTTCTCTTTTCTTTTATAATATAAAACCCTATAGTCGTTTCTTTACAGCTGTAGTTTCCGATTAGCGTGTTTTTCGTGTCTGTGTGTTCGTAGCGACATGTAGAACATGTTTAAAACCTTTTTACTTGTTGTTTCATATGTTTGGTATACTGTTCTAATTTAGTTCTATTGTTTGCTTCATGTATGATTGCATGGATGCTTGTGTGGTGCTTTATGATCATGTCCAGTCGGTGAGAAGTACGTTGGTGAAATAGAAGAAGTTAGTGATCCAGAAGAAGTCTTTTGGAGGTTACAGTTCAGTAGAAGAAGGATTTGAGTTTAAGGTAAGTATAGAATGGGATCTTTCTTATTGTCCTATACACCTTTAATCATTTAATTCATACTGCATGTGTCTACCTTGATTACCACTAAGGATTTCCTAGTACTTTGTTACCTTGTACCTTGATTCCTATGGGTTTATGCATTGGGTAGTATGATGCTAGCGCTCAATTAAAGACCATGATCTTGTAACTTGACTAATGGGATATGCAATAAACACTAAAAAATGTTTTTTAGCAACATGGAACAAGGGGGCTAGAGCATTAGGTTGTTATTATGGTGCTCTAGATTCCTCTCCCTAAGGACTTATCTGTAAGCGAACATCTGGGACTTACAGTAGAGCCATGAGGGCTACATGGCTCTGGCTTTAGCTCAGTATAAGGACCTTTTCTAGCTTGTTAGGGGTTACTTTTATGTTGTAAGAGGGGCTCCAACAGGTATGATCTTGGCCTACCAAGAGGGTGCACTTTGGTTTTTTGGTATTTTGTTATTCACTCCTTGGAGGGGGGGTTCATGCTTATTGATGGGGAAACCTTAGCGGCCCTAACTTGTTAGATGAGCTTTTGAAAGGCTTTATAGTGAACCCTGCCGACCTTCCTTGGTAGTGGGTCAAGAGGTTGGCCACCTCGGGCGAAAGGGTAAATCATGACTCATAATGAAAGTGATAACCTTTGTAGAGTGTAAAACTGGTATATCAGCCGTGCTCACAGTCACGAGCGGCCTTGAACCCTTATGGAATAGATGATGAACATAGATGATACTGATGATGAAGATGGCCACTAATGATTACTGTTTATGCTATTCATTATTCATGTTTACCTGATCATGTGTTTATGGGCTTGTGATAAACTTGTTGCCACCCAATTGCTAAAAGATAACTCATTAAAAGCTAATCGCAGTTAAACCAGTGTCAGCCTTTTGAGGCTCATGAACACCATGTTATATTTGTTGAGTACGACATGTACTTATGCTTGCTTTACTTTTTAAATCTTTGGAAAAATCCTGGATGGGTACCAGATTGCTAGAGTTTGGAGGAATTAGGCTTGTGATCAACTAGTCAGTTGTCCCTGTGGAATTGGAGTCTTCACCAAAAATCGGAGTTGTCTTTCCGCTGTTTACTATCTAAGGTTATATTCTTTATACCAGGTATGTTATATATAATGAGCATTGTCTTTCGATATTAGCCATATTTGTAGCTATATGTGAGATTTGACTTCCTAGGCTCACATTTGGTGTGTATCTGGTTTTGTTCTTAAAATCGGGTGCTACAATACCAAACTAAGTAAAAAGCCACAATGAAACAAGACACATACATTTGAAAGAACCACACAATATTTCATGACAACAAAGTTGGTCACACTCTAGCATAAGAGAATACTATGACGATTAACCCACATATATAGGATGAACTAATAGGCTACCATGCAACTTGGCATACTACATGGTGTATTAAAACTAGTTCATGTCTGCATTCACCATCCACTGGGTATCAAGAAGATCTCCCAGCTTATCACTAGTCCAGTACAAGTGGCCCCCATTTGCCTCCATGGTTGGAGCCACTAAAGACCTACTAGCTCCCATCTACTCTTGTTGCTGCCCAATATCCAAGGTGGCCATCTGGCTATTGCTGCTACTTCCATGGCTAGTGTGGTATAGGAATGGTGACCAAGCCTGAGCATCATTCATGGAAGTAGGATATCCACCAAAGCTATAGTAGTTTGTGTTATAGACAACTCCACCAAAGGTGGGACCCTTACAGGTAGAAGCATTTGTCTATGATAAGGGCTCAAAATCATAAACTCCAATGTCATTGATGCTATAACGTAGCTTCTTGGTTCTATTTTCTTTCCTAAGGATGTACTTTTGAGCATGGCTAGAAACTTGCACTAGTGTCTTGGTGGTAACAAAGTGCCTAGAGATGTTCTTCCAATTTCCGCGACCGTACACATGTAGACCACGAAGGAATTGCCTACAATGAGGTAGAGTTTGAAGTGAACTAATTAGACAGAAATTCAGATTCCATTTCCATATATATTCATGATTAGTAAAAGAAAAATATTATATAACACCTCATCATAGTAATAGCTCATAACCTATGATTAATAAGGGTACTAAAACTTCACGTGACGAGCATTAAAAATTTGTATGATATGCTTTAAGGATCTAGCAAATAACTAACCTATGCTCGGCTGTGGTTCAAAACCTCCTAGTGTGTTGGCTCTCCTTTCGAGGAGTGGGCTTCTTCCGGGGAGTCTCCTTCACATTCCTCATACTGAACATCTCCACTTTTTGATAACCATCAAATGCTTCCATGTTGCCCATGGATGGATCCCCCACAAACACCCCAATGGGTTGATTCATGAGGTTGTTACTTGCTTCCACATGCTGGTTGCCACTCTATAATTTTTGCATCATCTCCACCATGGCATCAATGTACAAGTTGATTACCTGATGCTTCACCTTTCTAGGGAACATTTCCTGGAGCTCATCCACAATTTGATTGTGCTTGTTGTTGGCGTTGTCCCTTGCAACAAGAGATTTCACCATCTTGATCTCAGAGGCACACCACTCTCCCTTGAACTTGGTATCCATTGGTTGAGTATTACGCAACAATTGGTAGTTTGAGCTAAGAACAAGGGTTGTTGGTTGTGGAGATTAGCAAACACCAGGGTTGGTATTTATAGGCCATATGTGAATCTTTTTGTCCTAATTTTGATTAAGTGGACAATTGACTTCGATATGAAAGAAAAATTGAGATTTTGATAATAAAGTCAAAGAATATTATACACCCTATATATAGCATATCTCTACTTGTGCGACTATTTTTCTTAAATGCATTAATATTTAGTGCTAGAAGTTTGATATAAGCTCCGATCCGTATACACATTGTCAACTTGCTTAGGTAAAAATCTAAATTCATGATTGAAAAAGTAGTATTTTGTCATGTATTTATTTCTATATATATGCTTAGTTAAACTCAAAAGTTTGTTAACAAAGCACATGCTAAAAATTTAAGTTTAAATTCAAAAATAAATCTAAAATTATTCAAAACCAGTTTAATGATTCTAAATTTACTTTCAAATTGAAACTTAATTTTGAGCATGTCTCTTGTTTAGAAACTTTAGATTTCACCTAAGCATATACATAGAAAAAAGTAAACAAACAAAGTATTTTTTCCTAACTAAGCAACTATGATTCTATCTCCTGACTACGTAGATACAACTTATCAAAATATGTGATCCAAAATACTCTCTCTGTCGCTGAATAAATAGATTCATATCAAGCTTAAGATAGATTAGCATGACAATGAAAAGATCACACTACCCTTAATTAACTAGAGTAGTTGCACACTGATCGACGATTGTTCTAATATCACAGTAATTGTAGTATTTACTACACACATTCAAATACAGAAACTCAACACTAGATTGGAAGATGGGCCGAGTGTAGTAAATGCGAGGAGACTTCAAGAAAAAATAAATGAGCTAGTGGACCATTTAACACTGTAGAGATTGATTTATTTATAGACAAATTCTTGAACAGTAATCTATTTATTCAGGGAGAGAGGGAATATATACCATTTTTTATCGAGCTACCAGTAAAAAAACATCATAGAAAATACTCCCTCCATCCCAAAAATGTGACGATATAGGATTGAGTTTGTGTCCTAGAAAGTGTGTCGTTTTAGCCTCCCAATGGTGGGTCTCACCTCCTCCGTCTATCCACTCGTCCTCTCCCATCTCCTCTACTCGTCCTTCATGGTGCCTGCCTTCATCCCTACCACGAGCGGCCGTCCCCACCCCCATGGTGGTGCCTGTCTCCACCTCCACTACTGGTGGAGCCCCCTCCTCTTCACTAATGGTGGGATCTGATGCGCTCACTCCTTTTTTGCGCTGAGATTTGGCACCCTCCCTCCTCTTTCTCCATCAGGGGTCCCCCTTCCCCTTCTCCGTCGTCACCCCAGCTCCTCTTGTCCGCCACCGGCAAGGGCTAGCACAGCCTTGAGCCAGAGATGCTACCACACTGGGAGAAGTTCACACGCTAGCATGGAGGAGTGCTGGGAGAGGCTTGTCCGAGCGCAGGGGTCGACCGACAACAAAACCCAAAAATTGATGTTTTCTCATGCAAGTTTTGAAAATATGAAATTTGAATACAGATTATGCTCATGATGGGCATGGTTACTGATATGCACGACTAGGTCATGACAAGGCCAAGATAAATGAAGTGGGAGGGAGATTAGGGGGTGAATATGTGCTTGCCTAATTTAGGGGTTTACTTGAGCACCTTGTTGTGGCATTTATAGAGGAGAGCAAGGGGGCTCATCGTACGAACACATGAGGGGTTGTCCGACCCCCTTCTCCCTTGCTTACTATTCATCTTTGGCATTTATGTTCTTGGATTCCAACATGTCATGACAGAGCAAAGGAGTAAGCTGCTAGGTTCTTTTAATGATCGCCTAACACATCAAGTGGCCTAACAACCATGCCAAAGGTGTTTTGGCCCTCTTCCTTTGTCTCAATCTTGAATCATTGTGTTTTAGTGCTATATAGTAGCAACACGTCATGTTAAAAGGGTCGGGTGGTCTCCAAACCTCATTCATGGTAGATTGATCCCCTACCGTTTCACTTGCTATAATATCTCTTCCCTGACCTTGTTATTGAGGAAAGGTCATTATAGGAACCTAGCCCTTGTCTTGTTGTCCTCCTCGCCATTTATACTATTAATATATCTTTGTGGTGTCGATTATTTATTTGTATCCTTCATATTTCATCTTGTTATGAATTTATCCCTTGTTTGGATTATCTAGTAATATTTAGATACTTGAAAAATTTAATGTCATAATCTCAAATTGATTCCATGTAAAAATTCCAAAACCATAGAATACTCCAAAGTGAAATAGTACTACAATGTAATGTGCGGCATGCCACCCTCTAGAGGAACAAGTTGCATACATGTGTGCATAGTTTAGGATCAGTTTGTACATGGGAGTCTTACATTTCCTTAGTGATAGATATATGCCTATGAAATTTCCATCTTCTACTTCTCTAATCTATCTAATGTCTAAGCAATCAATATGTATTAGAGTATAAGTCCCACAACCAAACATTAAAACAATGCAATGAAATAATATAAAATAGGGTAAGTCTTAGAATAAATAAAGAAGCTCAATGTAATATTGATTCTGACATAGCCGATACACCAAACTAAGTAAAATGCCACAATGAAACAAGACACATACATTTGAAAGTATCACACAATATTTCATGACAACTAAGTTGCTCACACTCAAGCATAAGAGAATACTATGACGCTTAACCCACATATATAAGATGACCTATAGGCCACCATGCAACTTGGCATACTAGATGGTTTATAAAACCTAGTTCATGTCCGCATTCATCATCCACTGAGTATCAAGAAGATCTCCCAGCTTATCACAAGTCCAGTCCATGTGGCCCCCATCCGCCTTCATGGTCGGAGCCACTAAAGAACTACTAGCTCTCATCTGCTCTTATTTCTGGCTAATAGCCAAGGTGGCCATCTGGCTACTGCTTCTACTTCCATGGCCAGTGTGGTACAGGAATGGTGACCAAGCTTGGGCATTATTCGTGGAAGTAGGATGTCCACCAAAGCTATAGCGATTTGTGTTATAGACACCTCCACCAAAGGTGGGCCCCTTCCACAAAGAAGCATTTGTCTCCAAGATGGGCTCAAAATCATAAAGTCCAATGTCATTAATGCTATAACGCTGCTTCTTGGCGCCATTTCCTTTCCTGAGGAAGTATTTTTGAGCATGGCTGGAAACCTGCACTGGGGTCTTGGTGGTAACAAAGTGCCTAGAGATGTTCTTCCAATTTCCACGACCGTACACATGTAGACCATGAAGGAATTGCCTACAATGAGGTAGAGTTTGAAGTGAACTAATTAGACAGAAATTCAGATTCCATTTCCATATATATTCATGATTGGTAAAAGAAAAATATTATATAACATCTCATCATAGTAATACCTCATAACCTATGATTAATAAGGGTACTAAAACTTCATGTGATGAGCATTAAAAATTTGTATGATATGCTTTAAGGATATAGCAAATAACTAACCTATGCTCCTCTGTGGTCCAAAACCTCCCAGTGTGTTGGCTCTCCTTTCGAGGAGTGGGCTTCTTTCGGGGAGTCTCCTTCACATTCCTCATACCTAACATCTCCACTTTTTGATAACCATCAAATGCTTCCATGTTGCCCATGGATGGATCCCCCACTAACACCCCAATGGGTTGATTCATGAGGTTGCTACTTGCTTCCCCATGCTGGTTGCCACTCTGCAATGTTTGCATCATCTCCACCATGACATCAATGTACAAGTTGATTACCTGATGCTTCTCCTTGCTAGGGAACATTGCCTGGAGCTCATCCACAATTTGATTATGTTTCTTGTTCATATCACTAGCACCATTGTTGTTGGCGTTGTCCCTTGTAATGAGAGATTTCACCATCTTGATCTCAGAGGCACTCCACTCTCCCTTGAACTTAGGACCCATTGTTGAGTATTATGCAACAATTGGTAGTTTGAGCTAAGAATGAGGGTTGTAGGGTTGTGGAGATTGGCAAACACTAAGGCTAGTATTTATAGGCCTCATGTGAATCCTTTTGTCCTAATTTTGATTAATTAGACAATTGACTTTGATATGAAAGCCAAATTGAGATTTTGATAACAAAGTCAAAGAATATTATACACCCTATATATATAGTATATCTCTACTTGTGCGACTTTTTTTCTTAAATGCATTAATATTTAGTGATATAAATTTGCTATAAGCTCCATATACACATTGTCAACTTGCCAATGCCAACAATTTTCCTATGCAGAGCACAAACTTGAGAGTAGAAAAGGTAGAGAAACACTAGTGCAATCTAGTTTGGTTGTGGAGGTGAGGTTTCAAGGCAGACCCATGTGTGCCCAAGTATGTTGCCATTGACGGGGTGCCATGTGTGATCATGCATGGCCATACCGCCACTGAAGTCATTCCTAGGCACACAGGATAGAATGATACCAGCATCTGGTTTAGCTACTATTAGTTGACTACAACGTCAATGGGAAGTCTAATGATTGCAATGCTTCATCTCACACGTGTGATATATATTTATCTATTAAAATATTTTGATGAGCGATTGCAACATAAATGATCATGAAAATTTTGAATCTTGTAATATATGCATATCTCTTCTTGTGATATGGTACATAATAGTTTTATTTGGTACAGATGTACCAAATGAATGTCAGTATAACTAATTTTGTTAATGGGAAGTATACAACTAGGTTAGTATGTGGTTGGTTTGGTCTTCCCTAGTTTCTTGAGAAGTTGTTTCGAATGATCTGAGAAGATATGAATTGCGTGTTTTCTTCAGACCTTCAAGATTTATGTACCCATGCAGGATAGATTTCACTAACTAATTTGGTAACAAATATTTTTGATTGTGTCATAGATGAGTCTTTGTTGATCAATCGCAAACCACTAGTGGTCTTTCTATCAAAGGCTATAAGTTGTAATAATAATTAGTTGACACAAAAGAGCAAGAATTAGAGATAAC